AGGATTTGTGAGCTCCTCACACAATCCAGTCTGGTTAAACCCAGGATGGATCGTAGGCAGGTCAGCCTAAATGTTTCTAACCGGCGAAGATGTTCCATTAGGGGGGTCCACGTTTCGCAAGCGTAGAGAAGGGAGGGAATGACCGTGGCCGAGAAGACCTGAAGCTTAGTGCGGAGCGACAGACCAGGTAGCTTCCACACAGCGTTACGCAACCGATGAAAAGATATTGCCGCTCGACTGATTCGGAGTGAGACCTCTGCTGTTAAACTGGAGCCAGTCATAAGCACACTGCCCAGGTATGGGAAACTCTCCACTCTCTCCACAACTGCCCCATCACCGATTGGGAGTTGTGGGGGTGGAGTGTTCGATGGTACAAAATACCCAGGCAGGTGCTTAGTTTTGGTGGGGCTGATGGTAAGGCCCCACCTCTTAGTGGCACGCTCCAGTCTCAGCAGCAGCGTCTCCAACTCCTCCTCTGACTGAGCAGCTATTACCAAGTCATCAGCATACATAACGTGGTTGAGCAATAGGGAGCCATCCCTTGACCGCACCCGGGCATCGATTAGCCTCCCATTATATCTGTACCATATGGAGATTCCCCCGGTACAGCTATTGAAGGCTTCACGAACTACGTGGTCAAAATAGATGTTAAATAATGTGGGAGCCAGAGGACATCCCTGTCGCACCCCAAGGTGTACAGGGAATGGCTCTGACTCCCGGCCACGTAGTTTTACCCGGGCCCGCTCACCATCATGAAGGTCCTTAATGATCGTGAGCAGAGGGTCAGGTACTCCAAAAGCACGAAGAACGACCCAGAGCCCAGGCCTACTGATGGTATCATAGGCCTTGACCAGGTCAATAAAGCACACACACCTACACCAACACTAACCCTAGCCCTAACACTACACACACACCTACGCCAACGCTAACTCTAGCCCTAACACTACCTACACACCTACACCAACACTAACCCTAGCCCTAACACTACCCACACACTTACGCCAACACTAACCCTAGCCCTAACACTACACACACACCTACACCAACACTAACCCTAGCCCTAACACTACACACACACCAACACTAACCCTAGCCCTAACACTACACACACACCTACACCAACACTAACCCTAGCCCTAACACTACACACACACCTACGCCAACACTAGCCCTAACACTACACACACACCTACACCAACACTAACCCTAGCCCTAACACTACACACACACCTACACCAACACTAACCCTAGCCCTAACACTACCCCCACACCTACGCCAACACTAACCCTAGCCCTAACACTACACACACACCTGCACCAACATTAACCCTAGCACTAACACTACACACACACCTACACCAACCCTAGCCCTAACACTACACACACACCTACACCAACACTAACCCTAGCCCTAACACTACACACACACCTACACTAACCCTAGCCCTAACACTACACACACACCTACACCAACACTAACCCTAGCCCTAACACTACACACACACACCAAACCTAACCCTAGCCCTAACACTACACACACACCTACACCAACACTAACCCTAGCCCTAACACTACACACACACCTACACCAACACTAACCCTAGCCCTAACACTACACACACACCTACGCCAACACTAACCCTAGCCCTAACACTACACACACACCTACACCAACACTAACCCTAGCCCTAACACTACACACACACCTACGCCAACGCTAACTCTAGCCCTAACACTACCTACACACCTACACCAACACTAACCCTAGCCCTAACACTACCCACACACCTACACCAACACTAACCCTAGCCCTAACACTACACACACACCTACACCAACACTAACCCTAGCCCTAACACTACACACACACCTACACCAACACTAACCCTAGCCCTAACACTAAACACACACCTACACCAACACTAACCCTAGCCCTAACACTACACACACACCTACACCAACACTAACCCTAGCCCTAACACTACACACACACCTACGCCAACGCTAACTCTAGCCCTAACACTACCTACACACCTACACCAACACTAACCCTAGCCCTAACACTACCCACACACTTACGCCAACACTAACCCTAGCCCTAACACTACACACACACCTACACCAACACTAACCCTAGCCCTAACACTACACACACACCAACACTAACCCTAGCCCTAACACTACACACACACCTACACCAACACTAACCCTAGCCCTAACACTACACACACACCTACGCCAACACTAGCCCTAACACTACACACACACCTACACCAACACTAACCCTAGCCCTAACACTACACACACACCTACACCAACACTAACCCTAGCCCTAACACTACCCCCACACCTACGCCAACACTAACCCTAGCCCTAACACTACACACACACCTGCACCAACATTAACCCTAGCACTAACACTACACACACACCTACACCAACCCTAGCCCTAACACTACACACACACCTACACCAACACTAACCCTAGCCCCTAACACTACACACACACCTACACTAACCCTAGCCCTAACACTACACACACACCTACACCAACACTAACCCTACCCCTAACACTACACACACACACCAACCCTAACCCTAGCCCTAACACTACCCACACACCTACACCAACACTAACCCTAGCCCTAACACTACACACACACCTACACCAACACTAACCCTAGCCCTAACACTACACACACACCTACGCCAACACTAACCCTAGCCCTAACACTACACACACACCTACACCAACACTAACCCTAGCCCTAACACTACACACACACCTACGCCAACGCTAACTCTAGCCCTAACACTACCTACACACCTACACCAACACTAACCCTAGCCCTAACACTACCCACACACTTACGCCAACACTAACCCTAGCCCTAACACTACACACACACCTACACCAACACTAACCCTAGCCCTAACACTACACACACACCTACACCAACACTAACCCTAGCCCTAACACTAAACACACACCTACACCAACACTAACCCTAGCCCTAACACTACACACACACCTACACCAACACTAACCCTAGCCCTAACACTACACACACACCTACGCCAACGCTAACTCTAGCCCTAACACTACCTACACACCTACACCAACACTAACCCTAGCCCTAACACTACCCACACACTTACGCCAACACTAACCCTAGCCCTAACACTACACACACACCTACACCAACACTAACCCTAGCCCTAACACTACACACACACCAACACTAACCCTAGCCCTAACACTACACACACACCTACACCAACACTAACCCTAGCCCTAACACTACACACACACCTACGCCAACACTAGCCCTAACACTACACACACACCTACACCAACACTAACCCTAGCCCTAACACTACACACACACCTACACCAACACTAACCCTAGCCCTAACACTACCCCCACACCTACGCCAACACTAACCCTAGCCCTAACACTACACACACACCTGCACCAACATTAACCCTAGCCCTAACACTACACACACACCTACACCAACCCTAGCCCTAACACTACACACACACCTACACCAACACTAACCCTAGCCCTAACACTACACACACACCTACACTAACCCTAGCCCTAACACTACACACACACCTACACCAACACTAACCCTAGCCCTAACACTACACACACACACCAAACCTAACCCTAGCCCTAACACTACACACACACCTACACCAACACTAACCCTAGCCCTAACACTACACACACACCTACACCAACACTAACCCTAGCCCTAACACTACACACACACCTACGCCAAAACTAACCCTAGCCCTAACACTACACACACACCTACACCAACACTAACCCTAGCCCTAACACTACACACACACCTACGCCAACGCTAACTCTAGCCCTAACACTACCTACACACCTACACCAACACTAACCCTAGCCCTAACACTACCCACACACTTACGCCAACACTAACCCTAGCCCTAACACTACACACACACCTACACCAACACTAACCCTAGCCCTAACACTACACACACACCTACACCAACACTAACCCTAGCCCTAACACTAAACACACACCTACACCAACACTAACCCTAGCCCTAACACTACACACACACCTACACCAACACTAACCCTAGCCCTAACACTACACACACACCTACGCCAACGCTAACTCTAGCCCTAACACTACCTACACACCTACACCAACACTAACCCTAGCCCTAACACTACCCACACACTTACGCCAACACTAACCCTAGCCCTAACACTACACACACACCTACACCAACACTAACCCTAGCCCTAACACTACACACACACCTACACCAACACTAACCCTAGCCCTAACACTACACACACACCTACACCAACACTAACCCTAGCCCTAACACTACACACACACCTACGCCAACACTAGCCCTAACACTACACACACACCTACACCAACACTAACCCTAGCCCTAACACTACACACACACCTACACCAACACTCACCCTAGCCCTAACACTACCCCCACACCTACGCCAACACTAACCCTAGCCCTAACACTACACACACACCTGCACCAACATTAACCCTAGCACTAACACTACACACACACCTACACCAACCCTAGCCCTAACACTACACACACACCTACACCAACACTAACCCTAGCCCTAACACTACACACACACCTACACTAACCCTAGCCCTAACACTACACACACACCTACACCAACACTAACCCTAGCCCTAACACTACACACACACACCAAACCTAACCCTAGCCCTAACACTACACACACACCTACACCAACACTAACCCTAGCCCTAACACTACACACACACCTACACCAACACTAACCCTAGCCCTAACACTACACACACACCTACGCCAACACTAACCCTAGCCCTAACACTACACACACACCTACACCAACACTAACCCTAGCCCTAACACTACACACACACCTACACCAACACTAACCCTAGCCCTAACACCACCCACCCACACACCTACACCAACACTAACCCTAGCCCTAACACTACACACACACCTACACCAACTAACCCTCGCCTTACTCCCCCACTTCGTGCCCTCTGGACCCAGAGAACCGTGGGGGGCCACTTCCTCCCGACCCCCCCTAACACCCCAACTCCGAGTCGTCTATAGTCTGGCAATGGAGGTCACGACGGATGCACCCAGCGCCAGCGCCAAGGCCCCCAGCAGCCACCGCCAGGGAACCAGTGTCTGGGGGGGCACGGGGAGAGAGAGGCACGGGGGTAGAGAGACGGGGGTACAGGTTGATGGGAGCACTGGGTGGGAGAGTGTCAGTAGGTGGAGTGTGTTTGTTCTAATAAATATTAAAACATTTTATTTTCATCATTTATTTTTGTAGCCGGGAAAGCCTCGCCGAGTCTCTTGACTCTATTTTCAGGAGGGTCCTTCCCAAGTTTTCACAGAAGAGGGGGATAATGATTGATACCTTGCGTGTGTGAGATCCCAGCCGAGTCATTTGTGGTGTCATTTTTCAAATGTGGCCAAATTCGGCCCGTGACATCTGAGGCACGTGATGGCCTCCTACTCCTCGCCAATGGCGTCACGGCATCTCTAGCGTCCACCCAGGGCCGGAATAGGATTGTCTAGGCCTCTGGGCTACAGGTACTGTGAGGCCCCCAGTAATATTTCAAAAAGAAAACAAAGTAAAATAAAAAGTATAATTTATTTTTACATGGCTAACAACAAATAAAATTCAGCGTTCACAAACGAAGTAACTTTTCACTTCATCTCTGGAGGCCCTCCAGCTGGCGGAGCACCCTGGGCTGCAGCCCCTCAAGCCCCGTGCCTTGATCCGGCCGTGCGTCCACCGCGAGTGAATCAGCCGGCGCGTGGGAGTATTTCCACGGTTAATACCGCACTAGCGCAGTATTGACCAGGGCGGCCCGGCGGAAGTGAACCGTGAACCTTGGCGACGAGCCGGAATCGATCCGCGAAAGCGTCGTCACTGAGTCGCGCTGCACCGGAATGTGTGGCCACGTGGGAGACACGCAGAGGAGGAGAGACGAGGAGGAGAAAGAGGAGGAGGAGAGACGAGGAGGAGGAGGAGAGACGAGGAGGAGTAGAGACGAGGAGGAGGAGGATGAGAGACGAGGAGGAGGAGAGACGAGGAGGTGGAGGAGAGACGAGGAGAGACGGGGAGGAGTAGAGACGAGGAGGAGTAGAGATGAGGAGGAGTAGAGACGAGGAGGAGGAGGAGGATGAGAGACGAGGAGGAGGATGAGAGACGAGGAGGAGGAGGAGGCTGTCCCTCACCCTGGGCTTCTTCCCCGTCGCCGTCTTCCCATCTCGAGCCCTCAGCGACATTCTCCTCCTCAGCTTGAAGAGCTCCGAGTGGATCACCTGAGCAGGCGACAAGGACGACAAGGGGATGACAAGGGGATGACAAAGGGACGACAAGGGGACGACAAGGGGACAAGGGGATGACAAGGGGATGACAAGGGGGACGACAAGGGGACGACAAGGGGACGACAAGGGGATGACAAGGGGACGACAAGGGGACAAGGGGATGACAAGGGGATGACAAGGGGACGACAAGGGGGACGACAAGGGGGATGACAAGGGGACGACAAGGGGATGACAAGGGGACGACAAGGGGACGACAAGGGGACAAGGGGATGACAAGGGGACGACAAGGGGATGACAAGCGGACGACAAGGGGACGACAAGGGGACAAGGGGATGACAAGGGGATGACAATGACGACAAGGGGGACGACAAGGGGACGACAAGGGGGACGACAAGGGGATGACAAGGGGATGACAAGGGGATGACAAGGGGATGACAAGGGGACGACAAGAGGACAAGGGGATGACAAGGGGATGACAATGACGACAAGGGGACGACAAGGGGGACGACAAGGGGGACGACAAGGGGATGACAAGGGGACGACAAGGGGATGACAAGCGGACGACAAGGGGACGACAAGGGGACAAGGGGATGACAAGGGGATGACAATGACGACAAGGGGGACGACAAGGGGATGACAAGGGGATGACAAGGGGATGACAAGGGGACGACAAGAGGACAAGGGGATGACAAGGGGATGACAATGACGACAAGGGGGACGACAAGGGGACGACAAGGGGGACGACAAGGGGATGACAAGGGGACGACAAGGGGATGACAAGGGGATGACAAGGGGATGACAAGGGGACGACAAGGGGACGACAAGGGGATGACAAGGGGACGACAAGGGGACGACAAGGGGATGACAAGGGGACGACAAGGGGATGACAAGGGGATGACAAGGGGACGACAAGGGGATGACAAGGGGACGACAAGAGGACAAGGGGATGACAAGGGGATGACAATGACGACAAGGGGGACGACAAGGATGACAAGGGGACGACAAGGGGATGACAAGCGGACGACAAGGGAACAACAAGGGGATGACAAGGGGACGACAAGGGGACGACAAGAGGACAAGGGGATGACAAGGGGACGACAAAGGGACAACAAGGGGATGACTAGGGGGCGACAATGACGCGCGTGCCGGTGAGCGGACAGCCGGTCGGCTGCTGCTGACGAAGCCCTTGACAGAAGCAGCCACAGCAGCGGCAGCAGGACCCTCCTGGCAGCGAGTCCCACGACTCCGCGTGGCTCCCCTGGATATGAACGCCCGAGACCCTCGGTGGAACCCTGGCTCCGAGCCCCCCCCCCCCCACCCGCGCCCCTTGGCGTAGGTGTGTGGGTAGTGTTAGGGCTAGGGTGAGTGTTGGTGTAGGTGTGTGGGTAGTGTTAGGGCTAGGGTGAGTGTTGGTGTAGGTGTGTGGGTAGTGTTAGGGCTAGGGTTAGTGTTGGTGTAGGTGTGTGGGTAGTGTTAGGGCTAGGGTGAGTGTTGGTGTAGGTGTGTGTGTAGTGTTAGGGCTAGGGTGAGTGTTGGTGTAGGTGTGTGTGTAGTGTTAGGGCTAGGGTGAGTGTTGGTGTAGGTGTGTGTGTAGTGTTAGGGCTAGAGTTAGTGTTGGTGTAGGTGTGTGTGTAGTGTTAGGGCTAGGGTGAGTGTTGGTGTAGGTGTGTGTGTAGTGTTAGGGCTAGGGTGAGTGTTGGTGTAGGTGTGTGTGTAGTGTTAGGGCTAGGGTGAGTGTTGGTGTAGGTGTGTGGGTAGTTTTAGGGCTAGGGTGAGTGTTGGTGTAGGTGTGTGTGTAGTGTTAGGGCTAGGGTGAGTGTTGGTGTAGGTGTGTGTGTAGTGTTAGGGCTAGGGTTAGTGTTGGTGTAGGTGTGTGGGTAGTGTTAGGGCTAGGGTTAGTGTTGGTGTAGGTGTGTGGGTAGTGTTAGGGCTAGGGTTAGTGTTGGTGTAGGTGTGTGGGTAGTGTTAGGGCTAGGGTGAGTGTTGGTGTAGGTGTGTGTGTAGTGTTAGGGCTAGGGTGAGTGTTGGTGTAGGTGTGTGGGTAGTGTTAGGGCTAGGGTGAGTGTTGGTGTAGGTGTGTGGGTAGTGTTAGGGCTAGGGTTAGTGTTGGTGTAGGTGTGTGGGTAGTGTTAGGGCTAGGGTGAGTGTTGGTGTAGGTGTGTGTGTAGTGTTAGGGCTAGGGTGAGTGTTGGTGTAGGTGTGTGTGTAGTGTTAGGGCTAGGGTGAGTGTTGGTGTAGGTGTGTGTGTAGTGTTAGGGCTAGAGTTAGTGTTGGTGTAGGTGTGTGTGTAGTGTTAGGGCTAGGGTGAGTGTTGGTGTAGGTGTGTGTGTAGTGTTAGGGCTAGGGTGAGTGTTGGTGTAGGTGTGTGTGTAGTGTTAGGGCTAGGGTGAGTGTTGGTGTAGGTGTGTGGGTAGTGTTAGGGCTAGGGTGAGTGTTGGTGTAGGTGTGTGGGTAGTGTTAGGGCTAGGGTGAGTGTTGGTGTAGGTGTGTGGGTAGTTTTAGGGCTAGGGTGAGTGTTGGTGTAGGTGTGTGGGTAGTGTTAGGGCTAGGGTGAGTGTTGGTGTAGGTGTGTGTGTAGTGTTAGGGCTAGGGTGAGTGTTGGTGTAGGTGTGTGTGTAGTGTTAGGGCTAGGGTGAGTGTTGGTGTAGGTGTGTGTGTAGTATTAGGGCTAGGGTGAGTGTTGGTGTAGGTGTGTGTGTAGTGTTAGGGCTAGGGTGAGTGTTGGTGTAGGTGTGTGGGTAGTGTTAGGGCTAGGGTGAGTGTTGGTGTAGGTGTGTGTGTAGTGTTAGGGCTAGGGTTAGTGTTGGTGTAGGTGTGTGTGTAGTGTTAGGGCTAGGGTGAGTGTTGGTGTAGGTGTGTGGGTAGTGTTAGGGCTAGGGTGAGTGTTGGTGTAGGTGTGTGGGTAGTGTTAGGGCTAGGGTTAGTGTTGGTGTAGGTGTGTGGGTAGTGTTAGGGCTAGGGTGAGTGTTGGTGTAGGTGTGTGGGTAGTGTTAGGGCTAGGGTGAGTGTTGGTGTAGGTGTGTGTGTAGTGTTAGGGCTAGGGTGAGTGTTGGTGTAGGTGTGTGTGTAGTGTTAGGGCTAGGGTGAGTGTTGGTGTAGGTGTGTGGGTAGTGTTAGGGCTAGGGTGAGTGTTGGTGTAGGTGTGTGGGTAGTGTTAGGGCTAGGGTGAGTGTTGGTGTAGGTGTGTGTGTAGTGTTAGGGCTAGGGTGAGTGTTGGTGTAGGTGTGTGGGTAGTGTTAGGGCTAGGGTGAGTGTTGGTGTAGGTGTGTGGGTAGTGTTAGGGCTAGGGTGAGTGTTGGTGTAGGTGTGTGTGTAGTGTTAGGGCTAGGGTTAGTGTTGGTGTAGGTGTGTGTGTAGTGTTAGGGCTAGGGTTAGTGTTGGTGTAGGTGTGTGGGTAGTGTTAGGGCTAGGGATAGTGTTGGTGTAGGTGTGTGGGTAGTGTTAGGGCTAGAGTGAGTGTTGGTGTAGGTGTGTGTGTAGTGTTAGGGCTAGGGTTAGTGTTGGTGTAGGTGTGTGGGTAGTGTTAGGGCTAGGGTTAGTGTAGGTGTGTGGGTAGTGTTAGGGCTAGGGTGAGTGTTGGTGTAGGTGTGTGTGTAGTGTTAGGGCTAGGGTGAGTGTTGGTGTAGGTGTGTGGGTAGTGTTAGGGCTAGGGTGAGTGTTGGTGTAGGTGTGTGGGTAGTGTTAGGGCTAGGGTGAGTGTTGGTGTAGGTGTGTGTGTAGTGTTAGGGCTAGGGTTAGTGTTGGTGTAGGTGTGTGTGTAGTGTTAGGGCTAGGGTTAGTGTTGGTGTAGGTGTGTGTGTAGTGTTAGGGCTAGGGATAGTGTTGGTGTAGGTGTGTGGGTAGTGTTAGGGCTAGAGTGAGTGTTGGTGTAGGTGTGTGTGTAGTGTTAGGGCTAGGGTTAGTGTTGGTGTAGGTGTGTGGGTAGTGTTAGGGCTAGGGTTAGTGTAGGTGTGTGGGTAGTGTTAGGGCTAGGGTGAGTGTTGGTGTAGGTGTGTGTGTAGTGTTAGGGCTAGGGTGAGTGTTGGTGTAGGTGTGTGTGTAGTGTTAGGGCTAGGGTGAGTGTTGGTGTAGGTGTGTGGGTAGTGTTAGGGCTAGGGTGAGTGTTGGTGTAGGTGTGTGGGTAGTGTTAGGGCTAGGGTTAGTGTTGGTGTAGGTGTGTGGGTAGTGTTAGGGCTAGGGTGAGTGTTGGTCTAGGTGTGTGGGTAGTGTTAGGGCTAGGGTTAGTGTTGGTGTAGGTGTGTGGGTAGTGTTAGGGCTAGGGTTAGTGGTGGTGTAGGTGTGTGTGTAGTGTTAGGGCTAGGGTTAGTGTAGGTGTGTGGGTAGTGTTAGGGCTAGGGTTAGTGTTGGTGTAGGTGTGTGGGTAGTGTTAGGGCTAGGGTGAGTGTTGGTGTAGGTGTGTGTGTAGTGTTAGGGCTAGGGTTAGTGTTGGTGTAGGTGTGTGGGTAGTGTTAGGGCTAGGGTGAGTGTTGGTGTAGGTGTGTGTGTAGTGTTAGGGCTAGGGTGAGTGTTGGTCTAGGTGTGTGGGTAGTGTTAGGGCTAGGGTTAGTGTTGGTGTAGGTGTGTGGGTAGTGTTAGGGCTAGGGTGAGTGTTGGTCTAGGTGTGTGGGTAGTGTTAGGGCTAGGGTTAGTGTTGGTGTAGGTGTGTGGGTAGTGTTAGGGCTAGGGTTAGTGGTGGTGTAGGTGTGTGTGTAGTGTTAGGGCTAGGGTTAGTGTAGGTGTGTGGGTAGTGTTAGGGCTAGGGTTAGTGTTGGTGTAGGTGTGTGGGTAGTGTTAGGGCTAGGGTGAGTGTTGGTGTAGGTGTGTGTGTAGTGTTAGGGCTAGGGTTAGTGTTGGCGTAGGTGTGTGTGTAGTGTTAGGGCTAGGGTGAGTGTTGGTCTAGGTGTGTGTGTAGTGTTAGGGCTAGGGTGAGTGTTGGTCTAGGTGTGTGGGTAGTGTTAGGGCTAGGGTGAGTGTTGGTCTAGGTGTGTGGGTAGTGTTAGGGCTAGGGTGAGTGTTGGTGTAGGTGTGTGGGTAGTGTTAGGGCTAGGGTGAGTGTTGGTCTAGGTGTGTGGGTAGTGTTAGGGCTAGGGTGAGTGTTGGTCTAGGTGTGTGGGTAGTGTTAGGGCTAGGGTGAGTGTTGGTGTAGGTGTGTGTGTAGTGTTAGGGCTAGGGTGAGTGTTGGTGTAGGTGTGTGGGTAGTGTTAGGGCTAGGGTGAGTGTTGGTGTAGGTGTGTGGGTAGTGTTAGGGCTAGGGTGAGTGTTGGTGTAGGTGTGTGGGTAGTGTTAGGGCTAGGGTGAGTGTTGGTGTAGGTGTGTGGGTAGTGTTAGGGCTAGGGTGAGTGTTGGTGTAGGTGTGTGTGTAGTGTTAGGGCTAGGGTGAGTGTTGGTGTAGGTGTGTGGGTAGTGTTAGGGCTAGGGTGAGTGTTGGTGTAGGTGTGTGGGTAGTGTTAGGGCTAGGGTTAGTGTTGGTGTAGGTGTGTGGGTAGTGTTAGGGCTAGGGTGAGTGTTGGTGTAGGTGTGTGGGTAGTGTTAGGGCTAGGGTGAGTTGGAGTCGGCGGCTCCGGCTGGCGAGGGCCCCACGCTCACCACGTTGGCGGGCTCCAGCTCCAGGGCGCTCAACAGCGACGCGGACGCCTCCTCGTGCCGCCCCATCAGGGCCAGCACCTGCAGCGGCGGCGGGGACAGGCCCACGCATCTGGGAGGGTCGCCGCACGGCCCCACATCACTGCGCTCCGCGTGTCCCCGTGCCTCTGTGTCCATGTCACGTGTCCACGTCACGTGTCCATGTCACGTGTCCCCGTGCCTCTGTGTCCATGTCACGTGTCCATGTCACGTGTCCCCGTGCCTCTGTGTCCATGTCACGTGTCCATGTCACGTGTCCATGTCACTTGTCCCCGTGCCTCTGTGTCCATGTCACCTGTCCATGTCACGTGTCCCCGTGCCTCTGTGTCCATGTCACGTGTCCATGTCACGTGTCCCCGCATCACATATGCCCGTGTCCCGTGTCTCCCTGTCCTCAGGTCCCCTTGTCCCTGCATCCTCATGTCCCCACGTGTCCACGTCACGTGCCGTGTCCCCGTGTCCCCGTGTCCACTGCCCATGTCGCCGTGCCCCCCCCGTGCCCCCCCGTGCCCCCCCCCGGGCCCCCCCCCCGTTACCATGCCGCGCCTCAGCAGGGCCTTGGCGCTGTGTGGCTGCAGGAGCAGGGCAGCGCTGCAGGTACAGAGAGCCGCCTCCACGCGGCCCTGCGCCGCCTCGCTCGCCGACAGGCCCAGCAGGCAGCGCACACGCAGCTCCTCCTCCTCCTCCACCTCGTCGCCGTCACGGCCCTCATCGCCACTGACAACTTCCACCTCGTCCTTCCGAGACTCCTCCTCGTCCGCACTCGTCACCGCCTCACCCGGCCGCGCCCCCTCGCCTCTTCGCTCGTTGCCGTCGGCGTCTCTCTTCGTCTCCTCCACCTCCTCCTCATCCTCCTCCTCCTCTTCTCTCTCCCGTAGCGTGATGGCCGTCCCGTGCGGCACCTCGTCGTGCCGCTCACCTGCGCACAAAACGTCCGCACGGACCTCGTGATCAACCTCGTCGCCATCATCATCATAGACGTCATCATCATCAACCTCGTCATCATCATCCTCGTCATCATCATCATCCTCGTCATCATCATCATCAACCTCGTCATAATCATCATCATCGACGTCATCATCATCAACCTCATCATCATCAACTTCGTCATCATCCTCGTCATCATCAACCTCGTCATCATCATCCTCGTCATCATCATCATCATCTTCGACGTCATCATCTTCATCCTCGTCATAATCATCATCAACCTCGTCATAATCATCATCATCGACGTCATCATCATCAACCTCGTCATCATCAACTTCGTCATCATCAACCTCGGCATAATCATCATCATCATCCTCGTAATCATCATCATTATCAACCTCGTCGCCATCATCATCGACGTCATCATCCTCGTCATAATCATCATCGACGTCATCATCCTCGTCATAATCATCATCATCGACGTCATCGTTATGTTCACGGCTGATTTTTGGACCGAGGTACCGGAACGATCCGGCAAAACTTCTGACTTAACACTGGGTGAGGTTCCAGTGGTGAGGTTCCAGTGGTGAGGTTCGAGTGGTGAGGTTCGAGTGGTGAGGTTCCAGTGGTGAGGTTCGAGTGGTGAGGTTCGAGTGGTGAGGTTCCAGTGGTGAGGTTCCAGTGGTGAGGCTCCAGTGGTGAGGTTCGAGTGGTGAGGTTCCGGTGGTGAGGTTCCAGTGGTGAGGTTCGAGTGGTGAGGTTCGAGTGGTGAGGCTCCAGTGGTGAGGTTCGAGTGGTGAGGTTCCAGTGGTGAGGTTCCAGTGGTGAGGTTCGATTGAGGAGATGAGATTCTCAATGCTGACCCCGTGTTGGGACTATGGCGAGGTTTTAAACACAACAAGACCACCACCACCACCCTCTCGAGGCTGACGAACGCGTTCCAAATTCCTGAATTTCACTCCGACTTAATCCCGGGTCTGTCCTGACGATGCTTGACGCATTCCCAAGCGAAATGTCTCGTACTCTACCTTCATGATCACTACATTTTTCAGTTGTGAGCATTGTTCTTCAAGCTCACCTGTGGTGAGTGAGCGTGGGTTGTGTGAGTGGATGGATAAGTGTATGAGTGGGTGATTTAGTGGGTAGATCCGTGAATGAGTGGGTGAGTGGGTAAATGGTTGAGTGGGTGAGTGAGTGGGTGGGTGAGTGGGTGAGTGAGTGGGTGAGTGAGTGAGTGGGGGAGTGAGTGAGTGGGTGAGTGAGTGGTTGAGTGAGTGAGTGGGTGGGTGAGTGGGTGACTGAGTGGGTGAGTGAGTGGGTGAATGAGTGAGTGGGTGGGTGAGTGGGTGGGCGAGTGGGTGGGTAAGTGGGTGGGTGGGAGAGTGGGTGGATGGGTGAGTGGGTGGGTGGGTGGGTGAGTGGGTGAGTGGGTGGGTGAGTGGGAGAGTGGGTGGGTGGGTGAGTGGGTGGGTGAGTGGGTGGGTGAGTGAGTGGGTGGGCGGGTGAGTGGGTGGGTGGGTGAGTGGGTGGGTGAGTGGGTGGGTAAGTGGGTGGGTGAGTGGGTGACTGGGTGAGTGGGTGGGTGAGTAGGTGAGTGGGTGGGCGGGTGAGTATGTGGGTGAGTGGGTGGGTGAGTGAATGAGTGAGTGGGTGAGTGAGTGAGTGGATGAGTGAGTGGGTGAGTGAGTGGGTGAGTGAGTGGGTGAGTAAGTGGGTGAGTGAGTGGGTGAGTGAGTGAGTGAGTGGGTGAGTGGGTGAGTGGGTGGGTGAGTGGGTGAGTGAGTGAGTGAGTGGGTGAGTGAGTGGGTGGGTGAGTGGGTGGGTGAATGGGTGAGTGGGTGGGTGAATGAGTGGGTGAGTGGGTGAGTGGGTGAGTGAATGAGTGAGTGGGTGAGTGAGTGAGTGGATGAGTGAGTGGGTGAGTGAGTGAGTGAGTGGGTGAGTAAGTGGGTGAGTGAGTGGGTGAGTGAGTGAGTGAGTGAGTGGGTGAGTGGGTGAGTGGGTGAGTGAGTGAGTGAGTGGGTGAGTGAGTGGGTGGGTGAGTGGGTGGGTGAATGGGTGAGTGGGTGGGTGAGTGAGTGGGTGAGTGGGTGAATGGGTGAATGGGTGAGTGAGTGGGTGAAAGGGTGAGTGGGTGAGTGAGTGAGTGGGTAAGTGAGTGAGTGGGTGAGTGGGTGGGTGAGTGAGTGAGTGGGTGGGTGAGTGAGTGAGTGGGTGAGTGGGGGAGTGGGTGGGTGAGTGAGTGGGTGAGTGAGTGAGTGAGTGGGTGGGTGAGTGGGTGGGTGAGTGGGTGAGTGGGTGGGTGAGTGGGTGGGTGAGTGGGTGGGTGGGTGGTTGGTTGAGTGGGTGAGTGGGTCGGTGAGTGGGTGGGTGAGTGGGTGGTTGAGTGAGTGAGTGAGTGGGTGAGTAAGTGGGTGAGTGAGTGGGTGAGTGAGTGAGTGAGTGGGTGAGTGGGTGAGTGGGTGGGTGAGTGGGTGAGTGAGTGAGTGAGTGGGTGAGTGAGTGGGTGGGTGAGTGGGTGGGTGAATGGGTGAGTGGGTGGGTGAGTGAGTGGGTGAGTGGGTGAGTGGGTGAATGGGTGAATGGGTGAGTGAGTGAGTGAAAGGGTGAGTGGGTGAGTGGGTAAGTGAGTGAGTGGGTAAGTGGGTGAGTGGGTGAGTGAGTGGGTGAGTGGGTGGGTGAGGGAGTGGGTGGGTGAGTGAGTGAGTGGGTGAGTGGGGGAGTGTGTGGGTGAGTGAGTGAGTGAGTGGGTGGGTGAGTGGGTGGGTGAGTGGGTGGGTGAGTGGGTGGGTGAGTGGGTGGGTGGGTGGGTGAGTGGGTGGGTGAGTGGGTGGGTGAGTGGGTGGGTGAGTGGGTGGGTGGGTGGTTGGTTGAGTGGGTGAGTGGGTCGGTGAGTGGGTGGGTGAGTGGGTGGTTGAGTGGGTGAGTGGGTGGGTGAGTGGGTGGTTGAGTGGGTGGGTGAGTGGGTGAGTGGGTGGGTGGTTGAGTGGGTGAGTGGGTGGGTAGCTGAGTGGGTGGTTTAGTGGGTCATGGAGACGAAACAATAACAATCGGCGCGTCACGAAACACGTGACAATGAATTTGTCGGGTGGTGGAGGGTTCTCAACAGAGACTTGGTGCCGCATCATCGCGTGCGTGGCCTCACCCCCTCCACCCAAAAGAAAATCGATGAAGAATTAAAAAAAATCGCCGTCTGCCGCTGACCGCTCGGCGATTTTTGGCGACGGCCCTTCCGGTCGGCGACCATTCCCCTCCCGGCGCGCCTCGCCCTCTCTCGCCGACCTCTGACCTCCGAGCCATCCGGTCGCCACCTCCCAAATCCTCCGGGGCCCCCGGCTCCCCGGCGCCGGCAGCTCCCGGGCGGGCCGGCGGCGCCGCGGCCCCAGCGGGAGCAGGGCCAGTGCGGCGCGGTACAGCCGCTCGGCGCCCGGCGCGTCCCCGCGGCCCAGGCGGCCCGCGCCGGCCTCACGCTTCCTGCGGGCGACGCGGAGCCGGGCGGTCCCCCGGGGCGGGTCGCTCGCCGCCAGCACGCGCACGCGGTAGTGCAGACGCGCGCCGCCGGGGATGTCCGGCGGCCTGGGGGGGAGATGGGCAGGGGCGGGGGGGGGGGGGCGGAGTGGGGGGGGGAGATGGGAGGGGGCGGGGGGGGTGATGGGGGGTGGAGGAGTGGGGGGGGGGGGGGGTGCGACGACACCGCACAGAAGTTGGTTAGAAATTTCCCGGTCAAAGTTTTTGTGTCGTCAGGCCCTCCACCACCACCCCGATGTAGCCAAAAAAAACAAAACCCAAACGCGCAACGGTGGCGAGTGTCGTCCAACGCGGCGCGGAGTCAATCCTGAAGATTCTCTTGGCGCAGTCCCCGGGCGAAACGTCGCGAGTCTCGCGATTGTTACAGTCACCCGCAACGAGTGAGTGGCCAGGTGAGTAAATGGGTGGGTGGGTGGCCGAGTGTGTGCGTGGGTGGGTGGGTGAGTGGGTGGGTGGGTGGGTGAGTGGGTGGGTGGGTGTCTGGGTGGGTGAGTGGGTGGGTGGGTGGGTCAGTATGTGGGTGGATGAGTGGGTAGGTGAATGTGTGGGTGGGTGTGTGGGTGGGTAAGTGTGTGTGTGGGTGGGTTAGTGTGTGGGTGGGTGGATGAGTGGGTGGGTGAGTGTGTGGGTAAGTGTGTGGGTGGGTGGGTGGTCCGGCAAAACAACCCCCTACCTCCTTGTGGTGC